TATATATATATATACTATTTCAGAAAGGAAAATACTGTTAAATGGTAACTACACTGGTTTACCTTGATGAAACAGCATCAAGGTTTCTATCACTAACCCAAACCAAGAAGCACCATTCAGATTTGTATTCTCCGAGAACGCCACTCAGAGTCCCTGGGGAAAAAAGAACACATAAATTGAATATGCAAAGACTTAAAAGGATTGCTGATATACTTAATAAATGTCTGAATTTGAAGGGGAAGGAAATTAAGACAAAAAATAAACCTATTTTTTCTTTTATTTCAGATGAAACATTCACAAAGATTACCACTGTTCTCTCTGGACTGAGGAAGCCAGGACAATTTGCAGTCACCTCTTCCCCAGAGGTCTCCAGCTCTCCAACAGTGACGTTGCTTATATAATGAAAATGTGTAAAAATACATTCACCTTTATAAAATTTTAAACTTCTGTATCTTAACCATGGAAACATTCTCAGACACTAACACCCAAACCCAAGGCTAATTTCTTGTGGACTTTAGATCACTACTGCCTATAACAGGAAAAAGATCAGTTAAAATGACTACACTCAAATTGAGATGTCCCACAAGTATAAAATATACACAGATTTGAAAGATTTAGTATTAAAATAAGTGTATAGGGACACAATAAGCACTTACTGTTACTGTTGCCACATTAACATGTACTTCTGAGAATGGTTACACATGGTAGATAATGTCAGAGCACACCGAAGAGCCTCCAGCTTTGAACCCTAAAAACCTGACATGCTCAGCTGACTCCCTTCATGCCAATCTCTAAATTCTTATTTATCAGAATTCAGTTCCACTTAGTTATTTTAATCTTTAATAAAACATAACTCAGCACTTGGTGTTTACATGTAACTTCTGATAAACTTTTACAAGAGCACATAATTAAAATTTCTGAAAAGGTGAAGGGAGGGCAGAGGTAAGGGGAAAAAATGAGAATCAAGACTTGTCATGTAGAGGTACAAGATCCCAACAATGAATGTAACTGTACTGTATCCCTAAAATGTACCAATAAACTCAATTAAAGCTGAAAAAAAAAATTCTGAAAAGGGCAAAGATCAAGGTATATAATAATAGTTACAAATATTTAAAATACAATGAAGAGGAAAAAGAAAATTTTTTGCAAAACATTTTTAAAAGCCAATATCTAGTTGGGGAGAGTGGGGCATACTTGTACTCCTAGCACTGAAGAGGCTGAGGCAGGAGAATCCATTGTGAGTTTGAGGCCTGCCTGCGCTACATAAGACGCTACCTCAAACAAAACAAAACAAAACACCCCCAAAAAAAAGCCAGTACCTTTTAAATACAAAATAAAACTATGAAACTATTCTAAATCTCCTAATTAGCACACAAAAATAATAGTGCACTGATTTCAAAACTACTTATAAACATCCATAAATAAACTGAGTAGGGAATAAGCTCTACACAAAGTGTAGGAAAAAAGGAAAAAGGACTTTTTTTTTTTGAATGACAAATGCTAGGTCAGCAAAAAATAGTGAGGACTTACATGACTTAACCACAGGTTTTTCAACTCCTAAATAAGACTTGACTCTACACAAAACACATTTTACACACAGAAAAAATTATAAAACTCATTTTTCTCCACAATTTCTTTCCTTTTTTTTTTTGGCAATGCTGCAGGTAGAACCCAAGATACCACACTGCTAGGCAACTATTCTACCACTGAGTGTATACATCTCCAGCCCCGCCTCAATCTTTTGCATATTTAGCCTAGAAAGACTTCTACTATTAATTCAAATGATATCTGGAACATCTGTACTGACAGTGACATACAGCAAGATTTAAAAACTGGAAGTCTGTGCAAAACATTTCAAATTACAAGTTTCACAGATATTTTTATAAGAACACATATCCGGGAAATCACTTCTCTAAAAGTCTGTTTGTTTTTCTTCTAACCAAATAAAATCCTATCATTTTCCCGTGTGTCAGTGCAACTTCCCATTTTCAATGTAAAACTCCTCTATTGAAACTTTTACA